TCTCAGTATCTTCTTTAGTATCTATACTAATTTCTGCCATCCCATTCTGCCAGGCTCCTACATCCCTTTCACTTTAGGGCAGGGATCAGTGAACTTTTTCTGTAAAAAAGCAGATATTAAGTATTTTAGGCTTTGCAGGCCATACAATCTGGGTCACAACTACACAATTCTGCTGTTTCAGGTTGAGGCAGCAAGAGATAATCCATATTCAAATTAAGATAGTTGTGTTCCAATAGACATTTGTGGACACTCAAGTTTGAATTTCAATGATATTATTCTTCCTTTAATTTTTTCCAGCTATTTAAAAATACAGAAACCACCCCTAACTTGTGGGTTATACAAGTATAGGTGTCAGGCCAGATTTGGACTATGGGTGGTGGTGTGACAACTCCTGGCTAATAACAGTACTACTTTTTCAAGGACTGGGTAACATTCCCTCAGTCACAGTCCAAAGGAAAACTCTCCAAAGGTGATTCGGTTTATAAAGTTTTCCCATATGACATTCAAAACTTTAGGGATCACTCACATGCTGATGATTACCTGTTGCACATCTGAAAGGTTGTACCATTTTATTAGCTGGCCCATCAAAAACTCTTTTAAGATTTAACAGCAACTTTGTCACTGTTCAAGAAAAAGTATATATAAGATAATGCATAAGGGTTAGAATATGAAACTTAAATGAAAGAATTCTGTTCCCAGTTTTGGAGATTCAGTTCTGTGACTAGATAAGCAACCAGTTTCCCATATCATCTTCTTTGGGAAGTCAAAATTGCCAGGTGCTGTTATTAAACACATTAAATATCAAAGGAGATGGAGGGGCAAATGATGCTTGTATCTCCTGGGAGAGCCACATTTTCAGGAAAATGTATGAACCTTTTTATGCCATAACATACAATGGAAAAATGAATACTTCTGAAGGGGAGTGTAGTGAGTGATTTGTTCTGAAGTTTTTGGGGTAGAAGAAAATCTAAACCCAGGAATGAGATCATGCAAACTATAGCACAAAATCCATGCAAGTAAAATTTCATGATTTTCCTATGTGTCCACCATTACTAGGAGAGGCTTGGATTATGGTCTGTAAAAATATTTTCTTCCTTAAAGTATAATGCTCTGGGCCAGGACATGATCGGTTCCAGGCTCTGTCAGTTCCAGTTGAAAGTGTGAATGTTCAGCAAGAGGATATTTTTGAAAGGAGACTGAAAAATCTGCTGTGCCGGATACCTGAAACGTTGTTAGGGTATTCGGTGGAAAATTTCATTTCCACGTTATAAATAAGTAGGATATTTTAAGGGATCCAAGACTCTTAACTTCCAAGAGCTGCTTATATTAGTTCTACTGAAATGTGAAGTGGAAGGAGAATGCCCAAGGAAGGCTATAAAATTACTGGGTATGATTAATTAAAATAAATGGTTCACCATTGATTAAATGACCCTTGAAATCATCAATCAAGATTCTCAACCACTGAGGTCTGTATATTTTGCTCTCCACCAAGTAAAACAGAGAAAGGACAAAACAGGGACAGAGAAAGAAGGAGCAAATGTCCGTACGACGATTACTTAACTTCAAACTGCCCTAGAATTTCTTATTCAGAATAGCCTGTCTTGGTCGCCCCTATTTGAAATATTGTTACTTTAGCTCTTCAAATTTTCTGGGGGTTCCCTGTGTGGACTTGCTGGTAAGAGGACAACCCTAGAGAAGATGGTGTATCACCTACTACGGTAGTTATTGAATTTTTATCTCCCTTTGACCATAGAAATAATCCAGTTCCGGTAATTTCTCCCTTCCTTTGCAGCTCCCACACATATAAAAACAAAATAAGTTAGAGATCTCTGTCCAGACAGTAGTACAACATGCCCAAAATAAAACTGCCCTGCTAAAAGGCAAGAAAAAAGAAAGAAAAGCAAAAGCCTTGCGCTCGTAGGTGTGAGTCGTGTCAGCATGTGGATGTGCGAGAGTGTGTATCTGAATGCATATGAGTTGCGTGTGTAAGGTAGGTGAGTAACGGATGCAGTCTCCTTTCCTCTCTTTTTCTTTTGAGGGCTAAGCCTGGCTTCCTTGGCGGGTCGGCCGAGTGCAGCTCGGCAAGAGTCGACCCTTGCGCGCCCCGGCGGCACGGCGGTGCCCGGGGTTAGAGCTCTCCCCTGTGACCGAAAAGATAATTAAACATCGCGCGCGCAGGAGACCGCTCAGCGCTCCGCTGCGCATGCAGCTCCTCCGGATCAGTGGGTCCCCTGACTGGCGGCGGCGGAGTGCGCAGGCCCTTGGGCCAGGGGGCGAGGAGTAGGTCAGGGAAGGGTGTCTTACCCGGCGATGCGGGCTGCGTCACGGGGGAAGGGGGGCGGGGAGGGGCGGCGGCAGGCGGGCGGCAGTGGGCAGGCCGAGCGGGCGCGAGGGGCGCGGTGAGCAGGCTCGCCCTTTGGCGGGGATTTTGGGGAGAGACTGGGACGTGGAGAGAAAAATGGGAATGGGAAAGACGGAAGAGGGAGGCGTGGGATAGGGAATGGAGAAAGGGGAGATAAAAATACAGCCCCAAATAGGTAGAACAGAGCAGTGCCCGCAGAGCCGTGCGAGAGCGCACGCCTAGCCTACCCCGACCCCCACCTCCGCTCCTGCGGTTGGAAGCCCGCTCGGTAGTCCGCCTATCCATTTGGAGAGGAATCCTGTTGTCCAAGTCACGCAGCTACAGGCCCTCCGAGTTCAACCAGTGCTTGAAATGGGCTCCAGACTCCGTGACAGGCACCAGTTCCCCTCTAACGCGCTCCCCACCCACTCGAAGTTCCTCCAGGTCCCTTCAAAAGCGCAGACGCCGAGCGCCGGTTCAGAGTGGAAGCAATGCTTAAAAACTCAGGGGCAGGGTCGTGGCAGGTCGTGGCAGGGTGGGAGAGGCGTTTGCGCGGAGCAATAAAACGCCAGTTAATGGGTATGTGAATTGTTTTAAGTAAGATGGAGGGAAATGAGTGATGATTCAACTATCTTTCCTCAATACTCCGGGGGAAGCGTTATATTTTTTCATTTATTTTATAAAATCACTTATTACTGTGACAGCTACCCTATTAGTAATCTCTGAAATTTTGGTTACTATGATTCTTTTTGCAAACACGTTTTCAAGCTTTGGGAGGTTTAAAGGAGTTTGACAGTAAGCAAGGAACGAAGTAGTACTCAAAGTGGAGGGGAAAAGGCCTTGTGCCCCCATCTTAGGGGTGCAATAGCCTCAAGCGGATTTCCCGGCTTCTGTGGGCGCCGCACATTGTTTTATTTGTTTTGAAGGCTTAGAGTTGGAGGCTGGTCGGAGACACCCACGTGCTTCTGACTCTCATCAGCGTAATGATCGCCTTAGCCAGAGTCGTGTCTATATAAACCACAAAAACCTAATCATTAGAAATCCCAGCCTCCAAAAACCACATTTTAGGTAAAACTGCCGCTTTTTTTCGGCGCTCCTCCATCCTCTCGACCACAACTTTTTAGGGGATCCAAAGTCTCTTTTTTAACCAACATTGGGAAATAAATAGCCATTTAAGCATTTTGAATATTTTATTTTGTATTTTAATTTTTTTCCCATGGAGTGGTGGGGAAGATAGTTATGATATTAGACTTAGTTTTCGATGCAGAATAGAGTTAATGAAAGATTAAATTCATGGAAAACTGCTGGGGTTTTGCCCCCGGCAAGGGTTTTTGCAGCTTATTTTAATCATCACGATGACAGTCTTCCAGTCCTTACAAAAAAAAAAAAAAAACCAACACAACTCATTTGTTCTCTAGGAACAAGTTTGAATATAGAAAAAAAAAAGTGTCCAGCCACCCACTTGAGTTACTAAAAACTGTTTTGACTAGTGCCCCTTCCATCCCATTTTTTTGTGTGTTTGTCACTTAAGACAATAAAACACCCAAACCCTGCAAATCTCTTTTTCCCCAGGGAGCCGCTCCAGCAGAGGTGGGGGTAGGGTGGGGGAAGGGTGAAGAGTGCTGAGAAGTCAGCACAGACACTCAAGAATTTTCCTTCCTCCTCTCCTGAAGTTACAACGAAAAATAACGACAGTCAGATCAGCCGGCAGCTGTCTGGCGTCTCAGCTTCAACCTCGTGCGACCAAAAGGGGGTTCCTTGTCCTGGGGGGAGGAGGGCAGAAGCAAGAGGACGCGATCAGAAGGGATCCCCCAGACCCCGCTCCTGTCTGGGCTTCGGAAGCTGCGCGCAGCGTGCGGGGGGCTCCTTCTCTTGGCCGGCGGGAGGCGGCAGCGCCTGCGATTCGCAGGCTCGCGATCCGCAGCCCGCGACTTACCTCCTGGCACCTCAAAGCGCGAGTGTCAGGGGAGATTTGCAAATAGCCGGAGGGAGTGGATGCAAGGAGGTGGCGGTGAGAGGGCGAGAAGAAGAGAAGGGAAAGGAAGGAGTCGAGCCGGGGAGCTGGGTTGGCCGCCGCCGCGCGAGGAATCTGAGCGTGCAGCCGGCGCGGGGGGAGCGGCGGCCGCCGCGGAGGAGGCGGCGCGGGCGGGCGGGCGGCGGCGCGGACGCCCGAAGCTCGGTGGCTGCGCACTGCGCGGCGCGGCGGTGGCGGGCAGCGTGCGGCTCCGCCGGGCCCGGGGCCGGACCGCCGAGCCCGCCAGCCCCCCTGCCGAACTCGAACTGGGAGGGGCGCCAGCGCACCCAGGACGCGTACCCCAAGGGACCCCACTCCACGCTGCGAACTGAAGGCCGTCCCCACTTCCCGGGCCAAGCACATCCCCGCGCCGTGTGCAGGGCCGCCGCGGGCGTCCCACGGCTCCGGCAGGATCTGCGCCTCCCGGGCTCCAGCCCGAAGCCCGGCTGCACGCGCCGCCGCCGCGCGCCCAGACTGACCGGCGGTCGGCCTCGGCGGACTCGGCTTCTCACCTCCCAGCCCCGTCACCTCCATCCCGCTCCCCGTCTCGCCTCCACCCCCCGGTTTCCTCCTCCTCGCCCCTCGTTTCCACCCTCCCCCCCCGGCCGCCGCGCTAACTTGTGGCTGTGATGCGTATTCCCGTAGATCCGAGCACCAGCCGGCGCTTCAGCCCTCCCTCCAGCAGCCTGCAGCCCGGCAAGATGAGCGACGTGAGCCCCGCGGCGGCGCAGCAGCAGCAGCAGCAGCAGCAGCAACAGCAGCAGCAGCAGCACCAGCAGCAGCAGCAGGAGGCGGCGGCGGCGGCGGCGGCGGCGGCGGCGGCAGCGGCGGCGGCGGCAGCTGTGCCCCGGTTGCGGCCGCCGCACGACAACCGCACCATGGTGGAGATCATCGCCGACCACCCGGCCGAGCTCGTCCGCACCGACAGCCCCAACTTCCTGTGCTCCGTGCTGCCTTCACACTGGCGTTGCAATAAGACCCTGCCTGTGGCCTTCAAGGTGAGAGGCTGCGGCCGCCCCGCCCGCTCCGCCGCGGCTCCGACCCGCGCCCGCGCCCGCTCCCCAGCTCCGCTCGCACCTCCCTCCTGCTTGCGCCTCGGCAGCCGCCTCGGCCCGCGCTCTCCGGGCCGGCGTCCAGCCGCTCTTCCGGACCGGCCCCCCGAGTCCTGTCCGCGCCTCCCCGACGCGTCCCCGGGACGGGGACCCTGACCGCGACGCGGAGCCGCTGGACGGACAACACCCCGACCCCCGACGCTCTTCCCCGGGAACGGGGACCCCAACCCTGACGCCACCCCTCGGGGACGGGGACCGCGTCTGCACCGACCGGCCCCCCCTGGCCGCGCGCTCTTCCCTCCCCGCCCAGCCCAGCGCCGTCCGCGGGGTCGCGCCCCCTCCTCCGACCCGCTCGGGTCTCCGCGCGCCCTGCCCCTCCCGCAGTGAAGGGCCGGTGTTCTAGGGGCTCTGGCGCCCGGAGTCTGCTGTGGCGCGTGGGCCGCGTTGCGGGTGTCCAAGAGGGTCCCTGGCAAACGTGGGGACTCAGGAAGCGTGTGAGGGGCAGACAGGACGGGGGCGTTTGCCCGGCGGGTGCCGGTCGCCGGGAGGAAGGCGGGGCCGCTGGGTCGCCGCGCGCCCCGAGGCGGGAGAGCCCCGAGGCCCGGGCTTCGGACCCTAGCGCGCTGGGAGGCGCGGGCCAGCGGAGGGGGCGGGGGTTCGGGCCGCCGCCTCCAGCCGCGCGGAGCTCCCAGCCTCGCCCCACCTGGGAGGGGTAAGTGAGGCGTCTCCGGTTCGCCCGCCTTGAAAACTGAGGTGAAATTTTGCGGACTTGTTTTATTATTACTTTTAAAGGACTTAAATCACAAAGGCCTCTCCTGCGTCTGAAAGGTCGTGGGAGACTCCGGCTCGTGCCCGGGCGCGCAGGGAGTGACTCCGGGTCCAGGGAGCACGGTCCGCGCGCCTCGCTGCCTCCTCCGCCAGCCTGGCCCGTTAGGTGGAGGGCGGGTGTCGGCCGCGGGAGGCTCAGCAGCGGCCCGCAGCTTGAGGGAGTAGGATCCGAAGCGTCTCACATTAGCCTGGTGGGGCTCCCTAAGGCGATCTGGGTTTCCCCGGGCAGCCCTCGCCAGGGGGAGACGCGGAGCCCCCGGGGCCGAGCGCGCACTGGGCTGATGGGGACGCGGGTTCCCGGGCCGTCCTCGCGCGTGGGACGAGACGCCAGGGATGGAGGGGGCGGTGAGCCAGGCAGGGAGAAGAGCGCTCTTCAGAAGGCGCGTCCAGCCCCCTTTAGCCAGTGAACTGGTGAAGGAGGGCCTGGGTCCCCAGGACCTGGGCTCTATGGAGAGCAGGGTAGGCAAGGCATTGCGGGAGGGGGGACATGTAAGGAATCATGCCAGTTCCTCCCTGGTGGACCCTGGGGCCAAACACCCGCAGCCACTGGCAGTTCCCAGTGTTGATCCTACCCCCTTCCCTCCCACACACCAATTCAGATTCAACGTGTGTGTGGGGTGGTAAGAGGAGACCGGGTCATTTAGAGCTGGTTATCTCGATATGTCTTGTATCAGGACAGAAATCAGAATGAATTGTTATGGAAAGGGGATGTTGCATTCTGGGGCAAGTTTCATTTTGCAGCTGGCCCAAGAAATGTGTGTGTGCGTGCTTTAACCGTCCCATTTCTCCTTTTACAAACCACCCATTTTGTGGGTTAATGTTTTCTTCCTTGAAATATGAAAAGCTCAGAGTACATGTGGATTGTAAAAATTTGAATTTCCGTACAAGAGATATCTTTTACAATGTTCATCACCCAAGGGCCCAGAATTTTCTAATTAGCCTTATGTGACAGCGGAAACTTGCCCCCTGCCCCCCTATACCGTCAGACCACAAACAAAAAACCTGGGTAAAAAAACAAACAATACAAATAAGTAGATATTTTGTCTGTACAATGGCTCAAGTCAGGCTATGTGAAAAAAGGATAGGTGCCTATATTTTTAAAGATATCATTTAGATGTTTGATATTCTACATTTTATTTGTTCTGCTAAACATGTTTAAGGTACATCTGTCATGTCGGAACTATTATATTTATAGTGCCAACTTGATTTTGAGCATTAGTATTTTGGATAGAAAGGATGGTTTTGGCATAAAAATAGAATGCAGTGTAGTTTGAGCTATTTTCAGATCTTCTGCTACCTTTAGGTTTTATCGCTACTACCCTTTAAAAGTTATTTTGAAAATAAATTGCTTTGCTATTAGTCATACTTAATGTTAGAGTAATTTTACTTTCAACCAGTAAACAAAGCAATAGGTATCACATGGCCATATCAAATTGAATATTTTAATTCATATTACTTGAAAAATGAATTGTTAACCTAAAACTTGACTCTCAATATTTTCCCACCCCCACACCTGTGTTTAACAAAATTCGTATAGCTGGTGATAGCTGAGGTCCACTTGATACAGAAATTTTCTCTCTGCTGAAGATGTGTAGATATTTGGGACATCCAGATTTTCACAACAATTTTTGTTATTTTCATCTAAATGTTAGTAGAAACAACCTCTTTACCTTACTTTTGAGATAAAAGCCTAAAGAGGGTTAGACTTTTTATACTGTTGTAGCATAATCGAATACATCTGCAATGAAGAAATAACATGAAGAAGTCTTAGTTTTAAAAATGGTGACTGGTATTTGGCCATCATATTTAGAGCTATGTACAAAGTAAATTGTACTGTTGTTGGGTAGATTCCAGATAGGTAAATACATTTAAAAACACACACAGGGATAACTTAATTATTAGGAAGTCTGGTAGTCAAATCAATACAGTATTTATTGAGCTCATATTTTATGTCTGTGACATGGAGCTCTGCACTGTAGAGGATCAGAGATTAATTGAATGGATTGGGTTTTGATATATTCATTTAAAAAATAAAATAGTGCTTAAAAATGATATAGACAATGTATTAAGACATCAGTAATAGTGTTCATCTGCTCTTCTTTTGGATTATATAACAATACTTAATTTGTTTATACTGACATGAAATGCAAAAACAATGAGTAAAGTTTAAAATATGTAAAGTTGTTTATTAGCATTATATTTTTAACAAGGTTCTGCAGTTTTGAAATGTTCAGTCCTCCCAGGTGTCAAGGAAATGGAAATAAATATTTTTAACATTTCTTTCAGGTGTATCTCACCGAAAGCTTAAAATAGTTAAGTCATACTATTAGAGGATCCCAGGCCCTTTCTGTGCTGGATAATTCTAGTGACAAAAAAGCAATTTGCAAATTCAGTTCATAAGTTAATGGTCTGATGGAAATAGTGGAGAGAACATGTCAACCCTGCATCCAGTAGCACCCATATTGTGAGGGGTCTGTCAGCATTTTCTCCATGAAGCCTCGTGTTCAGAGTTCATAACTCAGTTGCTTTAAATAGCTTCAAGCTGAAACACTATGCAGAAATTTTAAGTCCAGATGTATATTTTCAAACTAAAAGTAGTGCAAAGCTATTGCACTGGTTAGGTTAAAGAACACTGGATTTTGTACTTACCAGTATCATATATTTTTCTGGCAATGTTAAAGAAAGAAAACATATTTTTAGATATTTGATCTGTTACCTTTTAGTATTTAATGATACCTTTTAGTATTTGTCAAAAGTAGGGTTTCAAAATAAGGGAGCAATTCCTATTTGCAAATAATTTTTTTGACATCATTGGCCATTTTTCTCTTCAAAAACAGGTATGCAGCTAATGAATATTTGACAGTAGTGAGTTGCATTTTCCCTAAGTATTTAGTGATCAGATTTTATGTTTGTGTCTTTTTGAATGTAATTATAGCTTAACAAAGGAAAGCCAAGTTATTGAACCTGTTAAAACCTTATTAAGTGTACCATCAATTATTATGCAAAATTATGTTAATATAATAGATTTCAAGTTGCTTTAAGACACATTTTTGCTGTGCCTTTAAATGCAATGGAAATTACTTAAAGTTAAAATTTTAGGATTGAATATATAAACTCAATGGTAAGGTAATTGAAACAAATAATTTTAGATGGAAAATAAATATTTAAAATTTTTAGAAAACATATATGAAGACAGGCATGAGAAGATATTTGGTTTAAAATATTGAATAATATTTCATCATTTTCTCCCCTTTGGCATCAGTGTTTGTATCCTTTCAAATTCTAGAATATCCATGATTAGATGATCTAAACCAGCTTGATACATGGCATATAAATTCCTAGCTTAAATTGAAATAATTCCATCAAATTTCTCCTTGACATTCATTAAAAAAATCGTGAAATGTTATTTCATATCATATGTCCTTTTTTTCTCTACAATTCAATCTGGTTTTCCTAAATTCTATGTTAAATTATAAAAAAAACCTGTAATATTTGTGAAACTTTTTGATAGTCTATTTAAAGTTATCATTAAGTAATTACCATAGGAATAAAATTTTTCCTTTTTGCAGTTATTCCCTTACCTCTCTTTATATTCCAAAAAATGATCTGATTAGATTCTATCTTGAAAGGTAATTATATTTCGATTTTGCTGCAAGCACAGCATGCCAAATGATATTGGTCTGTAAGAATAATTGATGAGTTAATACTAGGCTTCTGTCCATGGAAATGTCATAGGTAATTTTAATTTCTATACAATAAGACCACAAAAACAATTTTAAGGATCTGAGTTAACTTTCCATTGCTCTTTTTTCACAATAATTCACAGATTTAGCTATAAGGTGTTTCATCCAAAATTTCAATAGCGCTTCGTTTCTAGAGTTGAATATCCTTTTACTTTATTTTGTAAAAGCTATGTATTATTTAATTTAAATGCTAGTTGCAGTAAGGTGTGCTAAATAAAGGAACTCCTTTCTCTATTCTGAAATGGCAGGGCACAAAATTATTCTCCTCTTTCCCATGAAATTTCTTGAATTTGTAAATTTAGTATTTTAAAAACCCCCAGAAATGGAATTGTTAAGGGTCCATCACAAGCTATTCTTTGCAGAACTGAACTTTTGTATTGGGTAATACAGATTTCACCCATTAACAAATTTAAATGCTTGCTTACTCTTAACTAAGAATGATTTTTGACTGTTTTCTGCCCTTTAAAATGTTTTCTATTGCTTGGGTTTGGTATAAATGAAATGTGTAAAAATTTCTTGATTCTTTTGGTTTTCTTTTAAATAAGCACAGTTGAGAATCTCCTAAGGGGAATCTTTTTAGCTTCAGAGATCTACTTTTTCTTTTAAACCCTCAAACGTATAATTACACTTCTGACTGATATAAAGTCAAATATAGTGCTCATTCCCCCCTTGTTTTTCTCAGAAAAACATTAGGCAGTCCGACTTGGTAGAGTGAATAGCAGAGAAAAACAATATGTGTAGCCATTAAGATAGACTTCAGCCATAACAGGAAAAGTTGTCACTACATCGTGTTAGTTAGCATTTTTTTTCAGGCCAAGTTCTCAGCCTCATAGAAGACTCATACAATTGATTTGTTTTGTTTTGTAATTAAATGCATTACATAAAACATACCAATATTTAATATGGCCATTCTGCTGCTTAAGAAAAGAAAAATGGATTTATGTATTTCACTCTTAGGGCTCTTTTCTTTCATATTTTCCCATATTGAACCAATTTTCCTTTTCTTCTAACTAAAAAAAAATCCATTATGTTAAAAAATATGCAGTAAAATAATAATGTCCAAGAGTGCCTGAAAATCTTTATACTGGGGCGTATTTCTTTACTTTTTTATGAAATTCAGCCAGACTGGAGTGAAATCCATCAGCAGTCTTCCTTTATCTCTCGGTAACACCAAAAAACGTCTCAGGACATGAAGTGAAGAATTACATGTTCAGCTGAATCCTTTAAGGATGCTTATAAGTAAAGTCTATGTTTAGCACATAGCTGAGTTGGAAGAGAAGATAGCTTCCTCATCTTAAAAAAAGTACATCATAATTACACTTGTATACTTATATGGTATTTCTTCATTTTACAGACTTTAAAAAAATTATTTCCAGTTTATATTAGAAAACTAGTTCCTTGAGATGAAGTTACTTGTGTGAGATAATAGCAGATATGTAACAGAGGTGGGAAAAAGTGGAGCCTCTTGATTTTTGATCTTGATTTTCATGCATTCATTCTGAACAGTACAACTTTTCTGCGGTCATCAATATGTTTACTGATTCCATATTTACTTTGACATAGAAAACCACACAGCAGGTGTTAGAATACAATAGGCTGAGTGTAAAAAAATGTCAAACATTCAGGTGAATGCTGGCAAACATAGTAGATTATTTCAATATTTTCATATGTTCACATTTTTTGGCATTGTGAATTCAAAAAAGTTGAAAAGCACATTGTCTCTATCAGGAGCACAGCATTACCTATATTCAGTAGCCACTTGAGGCACTAGATCAGGTATGCAGGAAGGAAGTCATGTTCTCAAGGGATTTACCCTTGACCTGGGAGACTTCTCATATTGAATAGAGTAACCATATACTCTTAGTAATGGATAGTAGGCATGATTCCCTCCTCTTTGGGACAGAAACAGTTGTCAGAAAACTAGTTTGGAGCAAAGACATATTGCAGCTAATGAGGGATGTTGATTCAACCTTTAACTTTCTCTCTCAGAGTTTTAGCTGGTAACCTCACAGATCATTGGCTGTGGGAATTGGTGCTCTTTATGGAGCACTTTCATTTACTTATTTCAAAAGTATTTATCATTCACTATGTGCCAGGTACTGTTTTGGGAGCTGGACATATAGTGGTGGACAACACAGATGATGGCCCTTCCCTCATACAGTTTTTCAAATATAAAATAGACTCTTAGGAGTGGGTCTTACAGCTTTGGGCTAATATATCAAAAGTACATCGATTATTAAAATATATGTATGCTCTATATATTATATATACATGTTATATAATATAGTGTGTATATATGTAAATTATATATAATATATACATTTTAATATAGTGTGTGTGTGTATATATACACACACACTATACATATATATCAAAAGGAGGATCATTTGAGTCCAGTGAGATGCTGTAGAGGTGGGTCCTGTAAATTAAGAAAAACTTTTAAGATATTCAACTGAATAGCCAAGTGCTAAAAAAGGGTTGGATAAAAGTAAGGGTGAAAAAATATTGACAAGTTTTTGTTTGTTTGTTTGGTTGTTTTCCTGACTGGAGCAGAAGGTGTAGCAGAAGAGTGTTGGAGCAGGTTTCATGGGTTGGGGAAATTCAGCCCTAGAGTACAGTTTCATCGCACTGTAAGAAATCTGCTTTAATGAGAGGATGCACAGATTGTATTGGGAGCATGGAATTAAATGCCTAGGTTTGCCTTAGAGAAATGTTGACAAAGGAGGTAGTAGCTCTAGGAATAGAAGGATGAGTAGGATATTTGTCAGACAGGCAAACACACGCAGGCTGCTATTGTCAGAGAGCAGTGGACCACTCTAGCTGGAGCCGTTGCTTAGTCGCCACAGGAGCATCTGGAAGCTGAATGAGGAAGAGATGGAAATAGTCTGAATATAGGATCCTGGAAGTTAGTTGAGAGGAGGGTCATCAAGTGTCGGGGTCTTGATATATGATGGCGAAGACTCTGTTCCAACGTTCCATTGCCAGGCTCCATGGTGATCAGAGGCCCCCATTTGCAAGTTAGCTTGCCCTGATTAAAAGTGTGATTCCTAGCCTTGGAGGAGCATTAATTGTATCAGCTTCAAAGACTGATTATTTTGGGTCCTTACTTGACTGAGTTAACCCACCACAGGTTAACTGTTGAAAATTAAAGAGGCAAATGAATCATTCTAAAATGGCAGATGGGACAGACAGAAGAAAGTTTGGCTGAGGGTGTATTTTTTGCTGGAATCACTCTTTTGCCAGTGATCATTTTCATTTTCTACCTGTTAAATATCTTTATTTTGCACCTAAACTTTAAGCTTCTTGATGGCTTTGTATATCCCAATGGGTCCCACTGCAGAGTGGGCGCTCAGTAATCATTTTTGCAGTCTAACTAAAAGCTGACTATGTAGCCCCAAATAAGGAGATGAAATGTAGTCCTGGATACCACACCATATTTAGGATTCCATATAGTCAGGAACAATAAGGTTTCACCTAAAAGTCTTCTCCCACAGAGCTGACCGGACTTTCTTTCTTTGGCCTGTGATTGGGATGAGACCACACCTCAGGGCGCTGCAAACTGCAGACAGGCGGTGCCTTGACATGTTGAATGCAATCTGCAGATGGGGTATCAGCCTTCCTTCTGGTGCATAATTCCTATGGACAACCTAACATGGGGATTTAATAAAAATGTACATGTATTCTGTGAAGAATCCAACAACAGATGAAGGAAACTTTCACCTGCCTTTGAAATGGGTGGACCCTGAAACACTGGTCCATTTGAAGTGGCGTTGTAACCCATATGCAGATTCTTCATTCCTTTCTGCCATTACTGGACTTGACCAATAAGTCCTGATAAGACACATCATTTACAGTGAGAATATATTCTCAGATTTTAAGCTTTTCTGATGTGCCATTATTGCTGCTGTGTTTCCTGTTTTATGTAGGTGGTAGCCCTTGGAGAGGTACCAGATGGGACTGTGGTTACTGTCATGGCGGGTAACGATGAAAATTATTCTGCTGAACTCCGAAATGCCTCTGCTGTTATGAAAAACCAAGTAGCAAGGTTCAACGATCTGAGATTTGTGGGCCGGAGTGGACGAGGTAGGTCTCTGATTTTTAATACTGATAATGGAATAACATATTAGGATCCTCTGATGAAATATAGGCTGGTCTGTATACAAATCAGCACTTCTTCAACTGAATAGAATTACTGAAGGTTTATTTAAATATGTCCAGATGAAGTTGAGTGTTTTTCTGAGCACTCAGGCCTTTTTCATTTATTTTATGATACTGAAAATTCAAACAATGTTTTCAGAAGAACTGGTTCCTAATATCACGGGGTGTGAGCATAAAAGGTTGAGAGAAGAACAGTTGGAGGTTCAAGTTTTGAATTATGAGGAGCCAAATAACTGAGTAAATTGAGTGGCAAAGGGGAAAGAAAAGGAATGCATTGGATCAATTTCCTGATAATATCAATTTTGCTCTAAGTCATAGCAAGGACAACTAGCATAATGCTCTTTGCTTATCACATATGTTACCTCTATATGATTTAATTTACTCTTTGAATAAGAATCTATTTAAAAATCATAGTGTTTTGCAGAAGGCTTTTCATTTAAATAAGTGAATAATGTGTTACTTATGTTAGAATGACTATATAGAGTTGCCTAGTTAGATATGATCGGGACTCTAAATATTTCCACATTATTTAAGGGTTTCCACCATCTGAATCCATATTCAAATATTAGGGATCCTTAAAAAGATTATAAAATAGAAAATAGTCCCTTTTAGGGTTTTCATAGCTGTTTCATAAATGGGGCTAATTTTTTTTAAAAAGTACCTATGGAAATAGCATTTTGGCTTTTATTTACTTGTTCTTTGGAGACTTTTAAAAGTTCTTCATTAAACATGCTATGTTCATTTATTTATTTATTGAATCTAATATTTCCCCTTGAAATATTTCCATAAGAAGAGAGAGAAAATAGAATACTTTAGGACTGAGGTGAAATGAATTATAAAAACCTATGGAATTATTTTCGACCCAGGTTTGAATTAGGAAATGAGAAGCATCAATTTTTAAACTATGTCTAATAATTGCTCTTTAGTTTGGATCAGATGTCAAATTACCATTGTAAAAACCTGATAAGGGATATTCAAGCAAGGCTGTTTCCAACGAGTAGTTTTAGTTTACTTTCTAGGAATAGGGCCAAGAACTTGTACTTTTTAACTAAAAAAAAAATGATGCATGCTAATGAGATACTGTCACTGAAAGTTTTTTAAAATAAAATGAGGCTCAGAGCCTCTGGTAGAATCAAAACTAAAGGGGTTATCTCTGCATCAAGTTTAGTTTACTTTCATTTCATTTACATCCTATCACTATTGACTGATTAGGTGTATATTCATTCTCTTTTTTTTCTCAGTTACTGGTGCAGGTCCATAGTACAATTAAAGTTTCTCTTTTTTTCTAGTAATGATTAAGAAAAATTTGAGCATGATGATTTACCTGTATGCTCCAAACTGCTTCTCTCTTCTTATGTAATATTTCTTTGTTTTTAACTAGAGTAATGAGTTTTAGTATTGAAAAGATTGGGTGCTGTACTTTTACTTTACACATCCAAGCTAGTGTTTTCATTTACCTTGCTTTTGTATTATATAGATGCTGCATAACTTTTCTCTGATCAATCCGAGTAGAAACTATGGCAGAGTGATAGTGTACTTTGTAAACCCTCAACATATTTATTTAAGAAACTTCAAAGAGAAACAAAGGGTGTGCACTGTTTTACTATATTGGCTTTCTGAGTTTTGGCTGGTTTCCCAAATAGCAATTTTTATATTTAAAAAAAAAAAAAGACAGACTTAACTGCTTGCAGACTTTTCACGCATGGAAGATGAAGAAAGCTTCTTTTGATGAAGTGTAATTATGTCCAAACAGAGCTGACCCCCTCCCCCTATATTTCTTATGATCTTAACTGAAGAAAGTAGGATTTTTCCTTTGAAGCAGCCGGGACTTGGTGGAGGATCTGAAATGCTACAGTCTGCTGCCAGAGGCGGGATGGAGAAATTGGTCCAGACTTGTCTTCAAGACTTAGATTGGGGACGGGGGTGTGGGTGGAGAGAGAAAGAAAGAAAAATTGATTTATCACTAATAATAGATTTTTGTATCACTTCATTAATATTGTATGAAAGGGAACAGTAATATCAAGCTGAAATGAAGAGGACAGACAACAATAAGAGATATCACTTAAAAAAAAAACGGGGCAGTTTTTTAGTGGCAGGAAATCCTTTAACCTGCTTGTGTACCTGACTTGCTTTCTAACAGACTCTTTCCAGCTTCCTCTTTGATTTTTACACTTACACATTTCTCTGAAGTTACTCTCTCGATCAACATGCTGCTACTATCGAATTTTTTCCTAGCTATTTAAATTCTCTATTTTCAATCTAGTACTATTAAAAAATAAAAATCACCAAGTTGCTCAAATGTTACATGTTTTCTTTTCACTGGTGGAAATATAAACTCTCAAAAGTTGGAAATCAGTTTTAGGTTCACAAAGGAGTTGCAGCACTAGTTACTTTGGCATTATGGGTTATCTGATGACCACAACCTTGGGAAGTACTTTGGAATAAAAGTTGAGCATCAGTGAAACTTGCATTAAGTTAGGAGTGGCTGATGTTTTTAAATTGTCCTTTTCTCTTTTATATTTTAAATAGAAGTATGTGTTTGCTATATAAACAGAAGTATTTGGTCCTTAAGTTTTCTTGGTGTACTTTTCTTGCTTTTGACATCAAGCATGCTGCTTTTAATTTACAAGCATTTTAAGCACCTATAGTGTGCCAAGCATGGTACTTTGTCAATTCAGGATACTGTCCCTCCTTATAGTCTTTCCCCTGCTGACTATTCCTGACAGCCCCTCAAGCTAGGTTGGAATTGTCTTTCAATGACAGTTCCTATGTTTATCTCAGAAAAGATATGACATTGCAGAGCTAGTTCCTAGATGAAGCCAAGGATTATACAATTAGTTGTCTAATGAGTACCAGCTCCCTAAGTAAGAGCCTGCATTTTAAAGTAGAAGTCTGTATTTTTATCACTTATGGAAAGTGATAACAATGGGATTAAAAAAAAAGATTTTTTTAAAGGTAACCATGAATACTTACAAAAACATTTGACTTAGGAAATGTGTTATTATTTATAAAATGAAGAACCGGAGACTTAGCTTGATGGTAGTTTCTGGAAGTTTCTCAGACACAATGTTCATGTTCCTTCTGAAGAGGCAATAAGAAGTGGCAGGAACCTCCTTGAGTTTTGTTTTAATTGTTAAAGTACATCTTGATCCTTAGTATTTGATTTTAGAAGACCGTAGTCATACTTAAATACTTGCTTCCTCTCCCCAAACCCACCTCTTTTTTAAAGAAGTCTTTATAGAAAATTGGTTCCGCTTTGAACATTTACATGCTTTATACTGAGAGGGTGAATTTTGTATTCGCCTTCTGTTCCTACAGGAGGTGTTTCTCTGAATTTGGAAGACACATCAATGACTTTTAATATCCTAAGTAAGTTGTAAAAGTCACAAATAGAAATATTCTCAAAACCAGTTTAGATAAATTCATGGGCAGTGTCTCTAGCAGGTTTTTTAGAGTCATTAAGGATAATTGAGATATGTACATTTTTGATTTATTAAGATCAGTGCCATGGACAACAATTGCCTTCCAAGTGCTGCCCTTGGAGCTACTGTTAGAAATGCAGTCCTGGCTCACAGACGGTTGATCCAACCCAGAATGGCAACTTTTTATAGTTCAATACAAATAAACTTCAATCTAGGGATTCAGCCTGTTCATTCCTCCTGATCTTTCCATTGTTTTGAGGTCATGATCTGGATCTAGTGGCTTCCTATTCAACCTGATAGTCTCCATTTCTGTAGACTTTCAGTTTTCTGTAACTAGTTCAGACGCTTGGCTGCCTGCTCTTCTGGTTAGTCTTAATGTTTATAACAAATCCTGTGTTTCCTAATGAGACAATGAAATTACTTAAATCCATGCAACATTCAATGTATAATGAATGGATGGAGTATGATTTATCAATGACACTTTAAGAATAGATGCTTTCATCATTCTGGCTAAGGTACTATGCTAGTAGAATTATGTTTACTGTTTCTTGGTCTTACAGAGCTGATTGGGACACATGCAGAAATAAGTTACCTATTAATTTTTTTTAAAGTTCTCTGGCAGAGTTAAAAAGGGAATTTATTTTAGGGTCTATAAGACCTGGGTTGAGATCCCAATTTTTTCCACTTACTAGTTATGTGGTTAAATTACTAAGCCTCCTGGTTTTCACTTTCCTCATTTGTCAGTAGGGGTGATAAACCTGACTGGAAAGAATTAAATGAGATAATGTGTCTGACGTGGCTGGCACTTAATAGGTTTCGAATCAATTTTCGTCTTTCTCTGTCTTCTTCCGGCCTCCTTTCCTATCTTTTCTTTCCTTTTCTTTTTTCTTTTCGCGATTCAAAAGTATAGCTAAAGAGACTTAAAGCTATATACTGAGTGACAGGTGATGTGTGTCTTAAACATATTTTGGAAACTTATGTGGTCTGGGTTGAAAAGAAAACCCATTCACTAGATTTGACAGCCAAAGACCTGTTCTACATTAAGCCTTTATGTAACCTGTTCCATATTAAACTTTGAAAAGATTGCATTAAACTTTGCATTGCTATATATTGTTTAAGATTTGTGTTGATTTAATACCCTCAGCTTGCAGGGAAGGGAAAAATAGGTCTGTGACCAAAAAAATAAAACAAAAGAAATGAGCTTCTTAAAGGTCTGTTACAGGAGCAGGCTAAATGAATACTCTGGCCTGAGATTGCTGAATGTTTTATTGAGTCACTGTTTCACACCCACCTTTTCCTGTCTTGTAACAGTTTGCAGTTTTGACTATCTGACATGACTAACCGTTGCAAATCTAACTGATTATAACTGTCAGTGAGTCTGTGTAACAGTCTGGTATCTTCTTCTAGAGAAAGCAAACATCCAAATCTGCTACCAAACTTATCTCTTTTTTCCCCTTCTATTCATCACCTTTACTTCATTAATTTAAAACATCAGATGTAGTATTTTGATGAAGTACACCCTCTGCTAAAAGCAAAAATTCATATTTATATTGGGAGATGTCATGTACATTTAGCAAAAAATAATTCACTGTCAGGAAGTTACTTTAAGATTTAACAGCAAGGGTGTATGTTAGGAAAGGCACGGAGGATAAAAACTTTGTTTCAGTAATGATGAACTCATCATACCACAGGCACATTAAGGCCAGGACAGGAGACATTGGCTCCTGTTAAAATGATCCCCATAAGAACCTTCCTCTTTCATCTTCTTATTGCAGTGCAGTTAAGAAAATGAAATGCTAAAGCCATGTGAAGTAAATAATATAATCAACAGTGATTTACTATTGTTCTCTCATGGGGTCATGACCTAATCCTAAATAAAGACTTCTAAAATTGTCTGTGCTTGGATGTGTTCCTGATGTTGGAGAAAACTGAAAGGAAGAGAACCCTCCAAGTGGACCAGAGTTTTTGTTTTCATTACAACTGTTGCTACTGAGCAGCTTCTATTTGAGAGTTGGAGCCTCTTATACGGTACTGCAATGAAGATCTTCCCACTCACTGAGTTTAGTAACTTCCTAAAATGGCCATCAGAGGGTTTCTCATTTAGAATAGGGAGCCCTGACTCTTCTTCTTTGTTTAATTACCTCCTCAGAGATGCTTAAGTGCAATTTGGACATCTGTGCTGTTATGTTATCATCAAATGCTACCTTTTTATATTCACTATGGATTTTCCCCTTTTACACCTGCAGGCAAGAGTTTCACCTTGACCATAACTGTCTTCACAAATCCCCCCCAAGTAGCCACCTATCACAGAGCTATTAAAGTTACAGTGGATGGACCCCGGGAACCCAGAAGTAAGTACTTGCCTTCCTATTGAAAATGGGAGTAGAGTTTGTGGAGACCTTATTAGCAATTTATCCCAAATAACTTAGTGCTACTTTAAAGGAAAGTTTCTTTGCAAAGTTTACTTCTGCATGTGTTTTTATGAGGTACAATTTGTAGAAATTCATACTAGAAAACCAAGTTGCATTTTTAACTTTTGCCACAAAATTGCTAAGGCCTGTATAAATTTGAGAAAGCAGTGAATAATTACTCAGTTACTGTAGCTATTTGCTAAGAAATTCAGCTCACCCACTACACAATAGACAGGGCAGAATAAACCCATGAGAGCTGAGGAAGAAAACAACAAACTGAAAAATCTTGAGTTTAGTCAAAAAGCATTTGCGTATGTTTCCCATGGTTTAAGAATGTGTTTTAACTTTTTAACTTGCCCGCCCACTCAATTCCCTTTATAAAGAGCATACTGCTTAATTAAAAAGAATGTATTTGCAAATGTTAACTTGCTTGATTGTTACAGCTCTGTTGTTTGGTCATGTTCTAGTAATTGTTATAGATTGTTTCTCTTAACAGAGTCAAACTAGGTTTAAATCCACCTTGTTTTATTTGTCCAGGTATCCAGAAGGTTTAACCAGCATCAGTTTAAGGTAGTGCACATAATCCATTTGGGCTAATATGCATTTTCCTCCTAAATCTAAATTGAAACAGGTTTGCTTTCCCCTCCAGAACTTATTTGAACAAACTCATCATAGCAGTATTTTAATGTATTTAGAGATTACAGGTTATTCGGTATATACAGTATTAAAAATTGTATGCCAATGGAAATTCTGCCTTTGATGAGTGAGTAACATTGGCCTCCTAGCCACTGTGATTAGAGAGTTTAATTTGGTTTGTGGTGGAGGTCCATCTGGCAGAAGATACTTGTTATATAACAACATACCTGCCTAAACAGTGGCAGTGGCATATCTTTTCTGTCTCTAAAAAAAAGAAAAGGGCTGGTAAAGTTTTGCCTCTACCCAAGTAGCAAGTGTTTTAGTAGTGGGAACGTATGGGGCCTTCTGCTCCTCTTGTGGCTGTCTTTTCACAAAGGCTGACTGCTTGCCTGAACAGGAGGTTTCCTGCCTCAAAAGCCAGTCTTTGAGGTTTTTCTTTTCTCATCTTTTCATGCGTATGGCCTTCCTCTAGGTTCACAGCATTGGGTCAGTTTGAAAATGTAAAGTGATTGCTATACACGTGTCTCTGGTTGCCCTGTCTCTGGTCATAAAGGCCAGTGGTTATGCAGTGCAGGTGAATGGAACAGAGCAGGGCTCTCTTCCCTGGTTTGGGACTTTGTTTGACTTTTCTGGACCTCTATAAACTGGGATTGGTGCCTTAGATAGAAGACATCTTCTAACATTTTACCTAATTATCCCTCAAGTTCCTGAAAAGGCAGGGGCATCCATTTTGATAATGTGTAAAGCAGGAGAGTAGTTTTTTAACATTTAGCACTACTAAAACTTATCTTTCAAAGATGTTTCCTGCTGATCTCAGCTGCTTTTCTCAGTTCTTCGAAAAACCATTACTGTATGTGTATGTCTGTGTGTCTGTGTCCATATACTTGAGCTGATGCTCAAAAGTTGATCGTTGGGAGAGGAAACAGGGAAGGGTGGGTGCTGCCCCATTCTGGAAGGTGTGACAAAAGGTGGGGAGAAAGGATAGCTTTGGGAATGTTATTGCTCTTTTAAGTGAGGATAGCATTACCTCATTCCCAAGAGGTTGTTGTCAGAAGTAATTAGCTGATAAGCTCAGTGCACTGTAAAGTGCTCTGAAAACAATGAGCTTTAGGGGCAGAGGTGGCAGATGGTATACGTGTGACCTGAGTTCAGGCGTGGGTGCTGGTGAGGGTGCTGAGGGTGGGAGTAGGTAGCGATCCAGATGCCGAATGATAGACTACTGCCCTGGGTCCACCTAACGTTTCTCGTGAGCTAAAGCTGTCTGAAAATGTGATGTCATTTCTTTGACATCATGAGGTGACTTGCCAAACTCAGTGTCTAGATATTAGAGTGGATCTGGTGTCAGTCACCCTACAACCTGGACTCTATACTGGAATTTTTTCTTCTGCTCTGCTCTTGGTCACACTGGGCATTGAATGTTTGTAGTATAGGACTCTTCTCAACATTGTTCTTTAATTTTAAAGCTCCCAGGTGTGGAAAACGCCCAGGATTTTCTATTTTCTTTAGATCTGTTTATAATAGGATTTTGACTGTTTGGAGTGTATGTAGTGTTAAATGGAGAATCCTTTAGAACATGGGTTAGCAGACTTTTTGTATAAAGTGCCAGATAGTAAATAATTCCAGCTCTGTGGGCCACATGTGTTGCAAATACTCAACTGTGCCATTGTAACTCAAAAGCAGTTTTTAGCCAGTACATAAATGAATGGTTGTGGCTATGTTTCAATAAAACTTTATTGACAACAACAGGTGGTGGGTCATATTTGCCATGCAAGTTGTAGTTTGCCAAGTCTTGCTCTAGATCTCAAAGTGGCTGTTAACAGAGAAGAGCTTCAGAAAAAGGCTTTCCTGAAGGGACAAAAAAAGACAATGCAGTTGTCTTAGGTTCCGCTCACACAAAGTTATAATTCTTTAAGTAGTCATTGTCATAGAAATACTATACATCTGTTTATTGTAATGGTTTGAAGGAGTTGAGGATTTTGTACTCTTGATTCCTATTAGTGGATTTTCACATCTTCCTCTGAAGATCAGGTCTTCCTTTCAAGATATATTGAAAAGGCTACTTCAAGTTGGTCAGCTGTTTGAAGACAAGTTCTGGGTTTAACTGATTGAGTCTTTATTCAGCATGGTATGGTGATTAAGCGTGTGGGCTTTCATGTCAGCCTGTTTGAATTGAAATCCCGCTCTACCATTTACTAGTTGTGTGGTGGTTGGCACATCACCTAACTTTTCATTGCCTCAGTTTCCTTATCTGTTAAATTGGGAATAATAATAATAGTAGCTTTCTCATTAGTTGCTGCAAAGGTAGTAAATGATATAGTGTATGTCAAATACATGGCACAGTGACTTTAATACAGTAAATGTGCATTACGTGTTCACTATTGTACATCAATTTCCTTCAGTGTCAGAAGTTTGCTGTAGAGTTTTGCTTGTAGTGTGCTTCCAGGAAATAGATAGTATCTAGATTATGTTCTCTAGTGTTATTTTTTTTTCTTGCAGCTGGCTGTACTAATTTCTGCTCATTAGTAAATGACACTGATACGTGTTATGAACTGTGCTTGAGCAGGTATTCATGCTGCTGGGGATAGCTGTGCAAAACTGATGACAAACACAATTTTTTGTAGCAAAGTCTTAAGAGAGGATGCTATGCCACGAGTGCCCCCCTCTGAGGCCCTGCTTATCAACACATCTGCCAAGACTTGCATTTCACTCAGAAATCAGAAAGGTTTCATTCTTCTATGTTTTCTGTCTCTGGCAGCTGAACCGGTGCTGTCACATCACAAACAACTTCTTTTCTTAATATACACATCTGGCGTTGGCAGTTGGACTAACTTCATAAGAGCACATGATCATCACTCATTACAAGATTAAAAAGTACCCCATGGCATCATTGATGTTTTTTAACTTTGATCTTTAGCAGTTGTGATTCATCTCAGTTATAAAACTTCCCTTTAAAGGAACATAGCCAATGACTTATTAGAACCTTCATCTTAAGTAGCATAAACATGAAAATGGTGCACATCTTTACAAAATGCAATTTATTTTCTTTGCCAGCTTATCATTTTAAGACATGACATCATACTTACAATCCCAAATTTGTAAGTCTTGTGTTTAGGTAAGGCGGTTTGACCTTCTGTTGGCAAGTTATATCAGAGGAACAACTGCCGTATGTTTGCCGGCAGAAGTCAGTGCAGCAGGAGCAGTAATGCATGTGGGTGCCTGGGACACTTTTAAACATCATTTCTATTAGGATCCTTTGTTTCATTTATGTACTTGGTTCCAAATTTAACGAATTTCCACCGTAAAGTGAGAACTTGGTTAGCAATATCATATTCTGTAGGAGTGGTTCTGACTTAGGGACATGGACTGATGGAAAAGGTATGATTGGCTGGACAGGGGATGGAAAAAGTAAATCACCTTACGTGGTCAGAATCCTTCTAATTCTCTTGCTGCTTTTCAGTTATCTATTATTAAATGACAAGCTATCCCAAACTGCTTAAAATAGTAAGAGTATTTAAACCTTACATGCTTAATACTTAAAACAGTGAGAAACAATATTTCGCATGGTTCTGTGGGTTGACTGGGCTTCATCTGGAGGGTTTCTGTGGTGTGGCCTGGGCTCTTTCATGTGGCAGCCGTGATGGTGGCTGTTGCTGGAACATCCATGGTGGCTTCATTTGTGTGTCTGGTGCTGTAGCAGGATGGGTGGAAGGATGGTCTCTGTCTCTCCATGGAGTCCTAGAGCCTCACCCTATGCCCGTGGCCTCTCCATGTGATCACTCCATGAAGTTTCTCCAGCAGAGGCTGACTTCTTACCTGACAGCTCAGGGCCTGCTAAGGCACACAAGTGGGAGCTTTCAGGCCTTCTTAAGGCTTCTTAAAGCTCAGAACTGTCATGGAGTTACTTCCTCCATGTTTTGCTGGTTGAAGCAAGATGTGGGTGCAGCCTAGATTCCAGGGGAGGAAACTCCACAAAGATGTGAAGGATGGGGCAGTGGTTCTTTGGACCACCAATTCATCAGCTTCCGTAAGTGCTTAGATGGTAAATGTCATTGTTGCAACAGGAGAAATAATTTTTTTGGGGTACCATCTTCTGAAAGGTCTCTCAACTTTTTAATCTGGGGGATATTTAAAGTTCTCCAAGGTGATTCCGAGTTTCAGTTTTAGTGGCTTCATTCCAAATTGAGCAAATATGGTAATTACCAGATGCATTAAGGGTGAGCGTTACCTTGTGGGGCTTGGTAGTAGCAGGTCACTATCAAGATGAACCAGAGCCATACTCCTATGAGAGGAGAACATTGGGTGTT